GAGATGAATGACTTGCAGTATCTTAAATTTGCTGAAGTAAAGTTGTCAAAATTAGCTAAATGATACTGAAATACCATTATTTGTGATATAGACTTTCAGGAGCTATCACCATCTCTACTTGAGATTTATGGCACAAGTATTTGCTACTCCTTCATAGGAGATGTCTTATTGAGGCTCCCTTTAATTACATTTAAGGTTCTCAATTAATTTTTTATTACCCTAATCAAATTAAGAAGCTAGTATAAAGGTTCTAGATTTTTGGATGACTGGCGATTGACCTTATAGATTTATCAATGGCCTTTGTTCCGGCAAAAGTTAGAAGTATGTTTATATAGTCTTGATAGTAATTAGGATGTCCACCACAAGGATATCTAGCTAGAGTAATATTGTAGGATTCCAACATGCTTTTTGTCATTGCCGAGTAATTCTAGTTGGCCATCAACCATGTATAATCCAGATGGAGTCTACAGATTCCAAATTGAGTGAACCATTATTCTAGTATGATTGAATGGCCAAGTTTTGGTATAGTTTTATTCTATACACCAACGAGGGAACACGCAAGGAAGGTAAATCAGTACGTTGGCGATCAACTGCTTCAAGTTTCACTAGAAGGGTTGTACCATTAAATAATGTCCAACGCCTCAAATTAATCTTCTGATGTATCAAATAAATTCAACATCCAATGACAAAATAAAATGTGACTTTGAGGATGTGTCAATGACAAATCTTTGTCTGATGTAGATGCTGAAGTTTTTTATGGGAATCCCCAACAAGTGACATCTCCAACCACTTTTAAGGATTTGAAACACTAGCATCTTCCTAATGTATGAAATTATAATGACAAGTGCTAAAAATTAGTCTTTAATGGTGGAAATTCCATGAATGCTCTTTTTAAAGTAGCTTAAGAGCTTTTTAAAAGTAACTCATCCCATTTGCCTCTCAGAGTGTTGTGGGGATCTACATATTGTATAAAATCTCATTTAGAGTGAAGATCGTAAATGCGAGAGAGATCATTTTCTTGAAAATAGGTGGAGCAAAGAAAGTCCCATATTTTTTTGTTGAGATTTGAAACATGAACATTGAGACAATTGAATGTTTAAGACTATTGAATAACCAAGGATGACATAATTAGATGTTTGCCATTTGAAAATTTAATGGTGTTAGGATTATCTGAAGGAGAGGCATTAAGATGATTGAATTTTTTCATGAGAACCAGCAAGGAAGCAAATGGTTCTCGAGATCATATGAGAGTGGTGCCAATGGTGGAGGGATTATATAATCATTTATAGGAGATGGAAAAACCATGCTATTGAAAGAGAACGAGTTGAAAAAGTGGAGATTTAACTCAAATCATGGGAATTATTATGCCCTAGGTGGAGGATAGTTGACAAAGAGGACATGGTTGTAACGGGGAGAGATACACATCTAGTATTTTGGCTAGCATGAGTAGATTTGAAGCCACAGGTTGTATATTTGAAACAAGGAGATGTGTAAGTCGACTAAGAACAGAGGTAGTAAGCGGGGCAACCACGAGCACAACTCAACAGTGCAAACTTGTGCACAGAGGGGGTAAACGCTCGTAAAATGTGGAGATCACACGTGCATTGCATACCAAGAACAAGTATGATGCAATGGGAAACTAGGACAACAAGGTGATCAAGGTCGCAAACAAGGATAACATGAGGTTGAAAGTGGGAGGAACGGGACAGGGATTTGGCGGCTATGATTAGAGGTAACCCCGTTCTGATGATATATTTAGTAGAAAAGGTTTTGTACTTAATTCACTAGAGAACCTGTCATTTATAATATGGAGATGAGTGCAACATGTCAAAGCACAATGAAAAAGCTTACTTCATTCACCATATATGGAGTTACTTCGTATTATGAAAAATTTCTACAGAAACATAAATGACCAGTAAGGTTAATGTTCATTTTTGTGCACACGCTTAATTGCTTTATTTTTTTTACATATTGCTTCTTTTATTTCTTCTTTCTACATATTGCCTTTTTTTGTGGGAACTCATTATGACTTTTATGAAGTCCATAAACTTAATATATTTTGATGATCTGTTTCTAAACTAGTACTTGTGCCGTGTTAGGTTAAACTTGGCCATAAGAATTGATGCAAACAAAATAGAGCAAGGCACAAAGAGAAATCAATTAAGAGAAACAAAACTTACTTTTATAAAATTAAGACATAACTTAGAGAACAAAAGGGATTAGAGAAAACAACTAGAGCAAAATCTAAATGCATCAAGAATGCAAATAGTCATTACCATTTCTTGTCAAACTGTTGGTTGACATGCCTTGTTTAAGCTGGTATTTAGAATTTTCTTCAGAGAAGGTGAAGGTCTTTTTATAATTTTAATGACTTGTTTTTTAATGAAGTTGGAATACTCCAACTCAAATAATTTTATCCTATTATAGTATTTTATGTTTTTTTATTATTTTGATCTACATGTGCCAAGGCCATTTCTCTTTATGATTGTCGCTGGTTGCTGTTAAAATCATTTAAGATTATTTATTTTTTCCTTTTAACTGCCTTTGATGCAGTAATTAGAGCGAGAACTTATGAAGATGTAAGCAAATGTGATTATTAGTAGAACGCTAACACCCTGGTGCTTTAATCACCTAGGTCAACTTTAATATGTATGTCTTTGTGTATGGTTTTGGACATGCACATGCAGCTTTTTACGCGATGTATTTGTTCGCACTGAAAACAAATTTTGATGTTTGGATTGTTATTTGCTTAAACATGGGTGTATTCACCATGGACGTCAACTGCATTTATGAGTTTATCAGAATGCACACATGCATGTATTTTTTGGAAAGTTCGTGTATTTGGTTTATGCACCCATCTACTTCTTTGATACATGATGCATGCTAGATGATCAAAATTATGGCCGCATGCTGGTAGTTGGTTTCCTGCATGGTGTTGGTTTCTTTTCTGCAATTATGGTAAAGATATGCATTGCTCGAAACAGTTATACCTTGCGTTGCTGACCTGCTATGTCAAGAATGCACATTGCGTTGCAATACTATTGAGAGCTTCAATTGTTTTGAGCTTAAATATTGCACATCTTTCATCATGCTTGCAGCAATAAGGCCCAGAAATGCTATAAGTTGATGTCTTGGAGGAACACACATTTCATTATGAATTGGGTAGGGAAGACAAAAGTTCCTTCCATCTAAATGGGGACTTAAAACCAATTATTTCCTCGGACATCCTGTGCATGCATCACAGACAACACCAATGAGAATGATTTGTGCATGACAGGCAAACCATTTTCTTTCTATTGCTCAAATTAGATGAGGATGAGCAAGGTTTATGTAAAATTGCATAAATAAGCCTCGAGGCATTTTTCGTCCATGAGGCGAGGCGTAAGCCTCACGGACGAAGAATTGCGTAAATGAGAATTTAAATATTATAGCAGATAAATAATATTAAAAGTCTATGATATAATAAAAATATCTAAAAGAGAAGTGAACTTAGTGGAAAACAAAAAGTTATAATGCCCATATTAACTTGCAAAAAAAGTATTTTCATCCAAATCAGACCTTTAGATTAATAGGCATAGCACTTTCTCCAGTGGCGAAGCAAGAAATATTTAAAGGGGGGCCTAACTTTAACTTTGCTTGAGTTGATTTTTATATTCAGATTCAACTAATCACTTTACTATTTACATATATTATGAAAAATCAATATACTCTATGAAGATATGCTTGCAAATTCCTTTCGAGTTTTTTTTTTTGGAAAATTCCCCCCGCCCCCTCCCTCTTCAATGCAAGCCCAAAACAATGGTTAGATTGCTTGTATTGTGACTTTGATGTGAAATTGCATGCATCAATGTCTTCATAAATCCCATAATAAATGACGATTCATGCAATGAGCAGTCTTTCAAGAGAATGAACATGTCATTTCCTCTCTGCCCCTGTTCGAGCTCTCGACACCAGTATATACAGTATGTTTCATGAGGCATACGCCTCACCAAAAATTGCGCAATTGCGCCTCTGAGGCGCGCCCAGGTTTCATGAGGCGTAAGCCTCACCAAGTCCCAAAATTGCTTAAGCAATGAGGCTCTTGGGGGGCAAATTACGCAGAGGTGCGCCTCTTGTTGCGCAATTTTAAACTATGAGGATGAGAAGCAGAATGAGATAGGCTGGGAGTGCATATGCATGCAAACCCTTCATATTAGTTGATACAGCCTTATGCTTTTATCTCTGTTGAAAGGCTTTTTTCTCTGTTGAAACTATATATATAAAAATTTGTCCATTTTTGTCTTACTGGCTGCCCTTCTATTAGTGTTGGGAAATCCCCATTCATTCATTTGAGATAGTTTGGCTACAATGGTGCTAAGGAAATTTCTTAAGGTAAAAGTGTCCGGAGATCCAAAGATTACCAATGGTAAATTTCACTAGGTTGAGCAGCAGTTCATGTGCTAGATCATTCAACAGCTTCCTCAATTCTTTCTTCAAGCCTTTTTATTCTCTCCTGAGTTGAGAATGTTACTGAACTCATGTAGAAATTAATGTGCAATTGAAGTTCACGTTATCAAGGGTTTGTGCATGTTTTCACAGAAGATGTTTTTAAGTGTAGTTTACTTTTTCAGACGTCTTATATGCATTTCACCCGGCTCATGTGAACTCATCATATTTGTTTCAGTTTCATGAAAATCCTTATGATTACTGTACTTTCTTTGATGCGGTTTTGTAATTGATAACTTGATTATCATGCTGTCTAAGTTGTTAATGCATGTGGTGGTTTGTTAGTAGATTTAATGGCCCTTCTTTATACTTGGATATTACTTTTGTTGTGTTCTATTAATTTAACTTTAATCTTTGACTTTCCTATCAAAATGTAATTAATGTTTAGTTATTCCTAGCACTTGTTTTACTCATTACCAATCTATTTCCACTTTTATTTACCTTGTGTTTGTAGATATTATTAAAAACCTTATAATCTTGTAATTACGGTGTCTAACATTCACTCCTTTTCTCAGGCTGGCGATGCTCTGATACAGCTATACCACAACTTCATCACTGACTTTGAAACAAAGATCAATCTCCTTAAACTTGCACATTTTGCTGTTGTAGTTTCACGGCAATATTCTGAAAAAGAGGCTGCTATCAGCTATCTTGAGGGGGTCATAGAAAAGCTGCGTGCTACTAAGGATATAAGAATAGAGGAACCTATTCTGTATGTTAAAATGCAAATAGCTGCTTTTAAACTTGAAAAGGGAAACCAAAAGGAGTGCAAGAAACTTCTGGAAGAGGGGAAGACTGCACTTGAAAGCATGACTGATGTTGATCCCTCGGTGCAAGCTAGCTTTTATTGGATTTCATCTCAGTACCATAAGTGTCGCCAAGAGTTTGCTGAATTTTACAAAAGTGCACTTCTTTATTTGGCCTACACAGAAGTTGATTCCCTTTCAGAAACATTCAAGCTGGTATTTAAAAATTTTGGTTTGTTGAATTTAAGGCTCATTTTCCATTTTATGAATAGTCATATTTTTTTAATGAATCTGTTACGGCGGATCCTCCTGAACCGCCTCAGCCCAGGAAGGAAGGGCCGACCATGGTATATCAAAGGAGGCAATCTCGCCTCCTTTCTTGCCCAAATTAAATTACCGCCTAGGGGTGGGGTCCACGGGATTTGAAAATTATTTTTAGGAAAGACTTGAGGAGGTGGAAAAAGTCTTTAAATAGGAGAGGTAAGAGAAAGGGAGAGGAGGCCAGTATTGTTTTCTTCTTGGAGTTTCTTGGGTGTTTTGGGCTCTAGACTCCCTTGTCTAGAGATTTGGGAGAGACGATCCTCCTCTCGAATTGAGGATCACTTGTATCTTGATTTCATATTGCTTTTGCTTTGTTTCCCTTATTGCAATTTAGTGATTTGGGGCTGATTTCGCCCAGATTTTGGTTGAATTCTCACTGTTTTGTCTCCAATTAGTGATAGGTTTGCTTGCGAACTCAAGTATTCCCTTGGGGTTACTTGCGAACTCAAGTATTTCCTATCAAATTGGTATCAGAGCGAGTCTCGGGACCGGTGGAGGGCTGATTTCAACAAATTCCAGCAGTTTTCTTCTCTTCAAATAGAAAGAAGTTGCTGAATTTTACTCCAAAAACCTATTTTTTTGGTGAATCTACAAAGGACGGATTGTGATGGCGGCCAAAAAAGTGGATGCATTGGAGGAAAGACTTGAAGGGGAGATGAATCAAATCAAAAAGACTGCGGAGGAAAGTATTTCCTCCATGGAAGGACAAGTTGCCGAGAGGAAGATGAGGTGGAAATCGCGGAAGGGGACGGAAGAAGGCCCCATATGGAGCCTTTCCAGAGGGAAGAAAGAGGAGGATATGAGGAACGTCAGGAGGGATACTACGGCTGCCAAGGTGCTGATTTTGAAGAAAGAAAGGGGGATTTCGAAGGAGGTTGGGGCTATGGTAGAGCAAGGGAAGATCGGGAAACCTGGGGTGCACCCAGCACTTGGGAGAGGGGAAACTATGGAAGGATCAGGGGAAACGGTAGTGACCAGGAGGTGAGGAAGTTGAAGATGCTCATATTTGAAGGAGAAAACACATATGGGTGGATTTACAAAGTAGAGCGGTACTTTGCCGTCAATGGGTTGACGGAGGAGGAGAAGCTGACAACCGCAGGACTATGCTTAGAGGGGAAAGCCCTGTCATGGTTCCAGTGGAGAGATCAAAGGAGGCCGATCAGAAACTGGAGGGAATTCAAAGACTGCATAATAGAACGATTCCAAACCGATCGGGGAGGAGACTTCTATGAGCAGTTCTTTGCTCTGACACAGGAGGGATCAGTAGCAGACTACCGGGAGCAGTTTGAGCACATAGCCAGCAGGGTGGAGCGACTCTCCGATACAGTATTGGAGGGAAATTTTATGAAAGGGATGAAGGTGGAGATCCGAGCAGCAGTTAAGGTTTTGATGCCCCGTGACTTGGGGGAGGCCATGAAGTTGGCCCAATTGGTGGAAAATCAAAGGAATTTGGAGAGGGGAGCCAGGAGTAGCAGCACCGGTGGCACTTACAGGATGCCGACCACCCATCTAGCACCTAAAGGTTCTGCAACAGGAGGGAACCGAGAGGCCACCAAGGAAAAGACAGGAGGAGGGAGCGGGGGAAATTTCAAGCGGCTAACAGAGAAAGAAATGCAGGAAAAGAGGGCTAAGGGGTTGTGCTTCAGATGCGATGAAAGGTACACACCAGGGCATCGGTGCAAGGATCGAACTCTTTAGGTTCTCACCGTCTGTGATGACGAGGAAACTGAGGGGGGAGGTGAGGAGAAGATAGAGGAAGAGATGGATGAGAAGCTACACTTGGATCTAGCTGAGGTTTCTCTGAACTCTATAGTAGGGTTCACTACGAATCACACCATGAAAGTGAAGGGAGAGATAGAGGACAGGGAAGTGGTGGTGTTGATTGATAGTGGAGCTACTCACAATTTCATTTCCACCCAGGTCGTCGATCAATTGGGAGTGAAATTGGTGGATACCGGCTGTTACGGGGTGATGATGGGTACATGAAATGTGGAAAAAGGTCAGGGGATTTGCAGAGGAGTGCGACTGACGATCTAGGGGATACAGGTGAGGGAAGATTTTCTTCCGCTAGAATTGGGAAGTACAGACATCATCCTGGGGATGAAATGGCTGCAAACGTTGGGGGACACCAAAGTGAATTGGGGAACACTCACGATGGAGTTGATGGTGGATGGGAGGAAGGTGGTGATTAAGGGAGATGCGGGGCTTTCCAAACCCCTGGTTTCTCTTAAAACAATGGTGAGGGATATTCAGTTGGTGGGTGGAGGATATCTAGTGGAGCTACACAGTTTGGAGGGAGAGAGTTTGGAGGAGGGAGGAGACATTCCCCACTCCATTCAGCCGTTGATTCAGCAGTTCCAGGAGGTGTTCCAGCCATCTCAGGGATTACCACCGCAGAGGGAGCAAGAGCATGCCATAGTATTGAAGGAGGGAGTGTCGCCCATCAGTGTACGGCCTTACCGCTACCCTCAGTTCCAGAAGGATGAAATAGAAAGGTTGATCAGAGAGATGTTAGAGGCAGAAATCATCAGACCTAGCATCAGCCCATTCTCTAGTCCAGTTCTATTGGTAAAGAAGAAGGATGGCAGTTGGCATTTCTGCATGGACTACTGAGCGCTCAACAAGGAAACTGTACCTAATAAGTTTCCTATCCCAGTTATTGACGAGTTGCTAGATGAATTAAGTGGCACAGTGATCTTCAGCAAAATAAACTTGAAATTAGGTTACCATCAGATTCGGATGAAGGAGGATGTACCCAAGACGGCCTTTAGAACTCATGAGGGACATTATGAGTTCTTAGTTATGCCTTTTGGCCTCACCAACGCTTCCGCTACTTTTCAGGCCCTTATGAATAAGGTTTTCAAACCTTTTCTCAGACGGTTTGTACTGGTATTTTTTGACGACATCCTGGTTTGCAGCAAGACAGAGGAGGAGCACTGGGGGCATCTGAAAAGGGTGCTAGAGGTACTGCAGGAGCACCAATTGAGGACCAACTTGAAGAAATGCTGCTTCGCACAAGCCAGCGTGGAGTACTTGGGCCATGTTGTATCAAAAGAGGGGGTGGCAGCAGATCAGTCCAAAATTGAGGCAATGCTAAAGTGGCCAGTGCCGAAGAATTTGGAGTTGAGGGGATTTTTAGGGCTGACGGGTTACTACAGAAGGTTCGTAAAGGGGTACAACAATATAGCATGGCCACTCACTGAGCAGTTGAAGAAGGATGGGTTCCTATGGGGGGAGGAATCTACAACAACATTTGAGAGCCTAAAGAAGGCGATGACGACGGTCCCGGTCCTAGCCTTGCCAGATTTCACTCAGACCTTCTTTGTGGAGACAGATGCGTCAGGATACGGGCTTGGTGCAGTGCTTATGAAGAATCGTAGGCTCATTGCCTATTTCAGCCAGGTTTTGACTGCTAGAACCAGGTTGAAGTCAATCTATGAGAGAGAATTAATGGCTATCGTTCTGGCCATCCAAAAGTGGCGACCTTACTTACTTGGGAGACATTTCGTTGTTAGGACAGATCAACGAAGTTTGAAATACCTGTTGGAACAACGAGTGGTGACGGAATAGCATCAAAGGTGGTTATCCAAGCTGCTGGGGTATGATTTTGAAATTCAGTATAGATCAGGAGTGGAGAATAAGGCGGCAGATGCCTTGTCCAGATGTATGGGGGAGCTGTAGACAGTGGCACTTTCCGTTCCTTTGATGCTTGACTGGGAGGCTATCAGAGAAGAAAGTGCTAGAGATGAAGAACTGAGAAAAATCAAGGCAGCTTTGCTAAAAGAGGAGGGAAGCCATCCATAGTACTCATTAGAGGGAGACAAACTACTATATCATGGAAGATTTGTGATGCCTCGGACCTCCGATCTACATCCCGAATCTACTCCAGGAATTTCATGGGAGTGCACTGGGGGGCCATTCAGGAGTGCAGAAGACCTATAAAAGATTGGCGACCGAGCTTTACTGGAACGGTATGCGTAAAGATGTATAAGAGATGGTGGCAAGGTGTGAAATCTGTTAGAGGAACAAGTATTTGGCAATGTCACCAGGAGGACTACTACAGCTATTGCTACTACCAGGACGAGTCTGGGAGGAGATATCCATGGATTTCATAGATGGGCTGCCTCATTCGGAAGGCTTCACAGTAATCTTGGTAGTGGTGGATAGATTGAGCAAGTATGCTCATTTCATTCCCCTCCGACATCCTTACACCACGGTGACAGTGACTTCAGCCTTTATTAGAGAGGTGGTCAGATTATATGGCATACCAGAGGCAATTGTGTCAGACAGAGATAAGGTATTCCTCAGTCATTTTTGGAAAGAATTGTTCAGGCTACAGGGGACTGTTCTAAAAAGGAGCACCGCTTACCACCCACAGACAGATGGCCAAATAGAGGTGGTCAATAGGAGCTTGGAGACCTATTTGAGATGTTTTGTGTCGGAGACACCCAAACTTTGGGCCAAATGGCTGTCATGGGCATAGTACTAGTACAACACATCTTTTCACTCAGCTTCACAAATGACTCCATTCAAGGTGCTGTACGGAAGTGACCCCCCTCACTTAGTACACTTTGGGAGTAGCAGTACTCCAGTCTCTTCCGTAGAGGTGTACTTAGAAGAAAGGGATCGAGTATTAGATGAATTAAAGAAACATCTACTGAGAGCTCAACAGATTATGAAGAAACAGGCCGATGGGCATAGGAAGGACATCCAGTTTGAATCAGGAGAGAAAGTGTTCTTAAAACTCCGACCATATCGGCAGAAGACGGTGGTCAACAGAAGAAATGAAAAGCTAGCCTCAAGATAATTTGGACCTTATGAAATATTAGAGAAAATCGGAGCAGTGGCATATCGGCTAAAACTACCACTCACAGCAACTATTCATCCCGTTTTTCATGTGTCACAGCTGAGAAGAGCTATTGGAGATTATGCAGCTAGCTCAGAGTTACCAGTCACACTCACAGAAGATTTAGAGGTGATTATGGAACCCTTAGAGTTGATGGGGGTTCGTCAGAAAGGAGAAGGGGTAAAAGAAGTACTGATCAAGTGGAAGAATCTTCCAGACTACGATGCCATATGGGAGCCGTATGAAAGGGTGAAGCAACAGTTTCCTAGTTTTCACCTTGAGGACAAGGTGATTCTTTGGGAGGACGGTATTGTTACGGCTGTTCCTCCTGAACCGCCTTAGCCCAGGAAGGAAGGGCCGACCATGGTATATAAAAGGAGGCAATCTCGCCTCCTTTCTTGCCCAAATTAAATTACCGCCTAGGGGTTGGGTCCACGGGATTTGAATTTATTTGAAAATTATTTTTAGGAAAGATTTGAGGAGGTGTAAAAAGTCTTTAAATAGGAGAGGTAAGAGGAAGGGAGAGGAGGCAATTATTGTTTTCTTCTTGGAGTTTCTTGGGTGTTTTGGGCTCTAGACTCTCTTGTTTAGAGATTTGGGAGAGACGATCCTCCTCTCGAATTGAGGATCACTTGTATCTTGATTTCGTATTGCTTTTGCTTTGTTTCCCTTATTGCAATTTAGTGATTTGTGCCTGATTTCGCCCAGATTTTAGTTGAATTCTCGCTGTTGTCTCCAATTAGTGATAGGTTTGCTGGCGAACTCAAGTATTCCCTCGGGGTTACTTGCAAACTCAAGTATGTCCTATCAGAATCTTGTGTCAATAATAGATTGTTAATCATTTATATGCCATAGCAGTCATTCCAATATTGAGGCCACCGCATGCATACAAAATTGATGTCGCATATAGTAAGTGCAGAATGGTGAAAAAAAGCAAATCTGGAAATACTTTTGGTAAATTTGGTGGTTCATGCTAAGAAGCAGCGTATGCATGTACCTAACTACTTGTTTGAGGTTTCTGGATGTTAACAATGATGGTAGGGATTATCTTTACATGTGTGATGGAACGGGAAGTTATCATATATCATTAGTTGTAGATATTTTGACTTACTCTTGCCCACCTCAATGTCTGATAATTCTGTTACCGAACTTGTGTAATTCTGCATTGTTTTTTTTCCATATATTTTGGACTGTTTGGTCATTAAACATCTGTTTTCTTTCTTTTTTGAGCCAACACAATTCATGCTGTGATTCTTAGAAATTAGAATTAATGTAAAACACCTTGAAGACGAGGTTTTTTTGGTTCCTTATTATGCCAGCGACTAGTTTTATGTTGTTTTATAAATAGTTGAAACGAAAAACATAATAAGCTCTTTTGCAAGTAAGTAATCTGTGCAAACTATTTTATGTTTTGCCTTATTTCTAAATCCATTTTTTATTTTCTTGCATCAATACATTCCAATTGTTACTGATTAATTTAAACTTTTAAGGAAGTGTTAGGGATTGTTTTCATATGCTGCTGTTTCCTGAAATCTGTTGTTTCTAGTAGTAATTAATCCGCATCTTCATCATAGTTAGCCTAACCTAACAATGAGTCCGCTTTGTCCTTCATCTTTATTCATTCTTGTTGAATGCTAAGTGGCTTGCGAATCAACTTTTTATTAGGTATTTTCTCAATATTTAGACATGTTATCGTTTTTTTACTTCTTCTTCCTATTATTTCTCATAAATTTCATTTCCCCTCCTATTGCTGTATTTTTTCATGCATGTACCCATTAAGTGTTCATTTATTCTTTTTACTTTTACAAACATCCATCTCAACCTTCTAATCCTTATGGTACTCTGCTTGAGTATCTGAACTCTTTGGTGCCCAAC